GGAGCGTGAGCAGGGACGGGGTGGTGCGTGGGGTCTTGGCCTTCGCCTTTCCACACGCGTACATGTGTGCAAAATGGGAGACAGCTCTGAGAGCGGCGTATCGCTAGCATGCGGTGCGGGAGACGATTCTTAATTTGCTTTTTGTAGATGTTCCACCGTGCCGATTTCATAGCTCGGTACCTTAGGACCTCCCTTTTCCGGTCACGGCAACCCACAGGGAGTTGTATGGGGGCCGCCAAACCCGCGGCAGTAAGTCTTCAGCAAAAGCTAATAACTCGGGTGACAGAAGCACAACCAAGACCGATGCTTTTGAAAAACCACTTTTCCAGAAATCCTGACCTTTGGGAAGAACTGAGCTCCCTAACGTTTACTTAAAGCGTGGTGATGACGGGTAACTTCATTGTGCCTTTTCAGTGTCCCCGAGCATGAATTTCTCCGTGCTGCTTCCTGGTAGCTAGATGCCCATATCTCAAAAACGCCGCCCTTTGCTCTGGCACTGGAGCTGCTCAGCGGAGAACCGGCCTGAAGACCTCAAACCTGACTTCCAGCTTACCAGAGCAATGCACTGGCATACAGACAGTTGCTTGTGCTATGGAAAATAGTTCTTAAAAGCCTCACGCTTGCTACTGGCATCCTTATCTGTGAATGAACATACAGAAGTTTATCCTAAAAAAACCAAAACAAAACTCCAGATCTCTTGTGTGCCTCTCTTAGCAACATAATGGAAAATAGCTTTAAAAGAGACCCCAGCAACCAAACAAAAATACCTCTTTTTCTTATTTTCTAACGGTTTGATAAAGCATTGTGCATATTCTGACTGTGGAATTCCATGTACCAGCTCTTTTTGACAAAAATTTGCAAAGATGTTCAGAGCTGGATGTGTGTGTATAACTGCATGGCAGAAGGTTGATAAGGAGAAAAATTGCCTCACACCCAAGAATAACAAACTTACTGTGGTAGCAGATAGGTTTTCAGATAAAGGCTTTAAGATAGTTGTTAAGAATTGTGTGTAGTGTAGTAATGTCTATTTTTAGAATATTTCCTGTTTCTTAACATTAATTTCTGCAGCCTTCTGCATATATTTCTATATCTTATCCAGATGTTCCTCGTGCACCTTCAAGGCTTCATCATCTGTGAGTGATGCGCAAACATGGTTTGTTCTTCCAATGGAAGGATTTTCCATTTTGTTTCAAAAGCTAGAACAGTGTCTTAAGCAGATTTCAAAGGTGGTACAAAGATAGTTTAGAAAAAACTTTCAAAAACATTTGAGTGAATGCACATCCTCCAGTTTGCAGGACGTGCAAAAAAAGCAGATGATCAAAAATGGAGTATTTCCAGATGAGCATCTACCTTTCATTTCCAGTGAGACAAGTCTTTATGGGTGGAAAAAATAACTGTCTAACAACAGAAAAGCCTTTTTGTGCGCATCATCTTTTTTGCTTATGCTTTTATGCCTACATTCAGCTATTGCTAGCATTTGATGAAAAAGGTCTGTGCACACAAAGAAGCTGTCTTTTATTGTTGTTTGGGTTTGTTTTCTATCTTTACAATATAGTTTTCTTAAATAAAAGAGCTGAGATTTGGGAGATTGTTTCATGCTGAAAAAAAACTTCTAGGGGAAAGTTTTTCTGTTTTAAAAATGATGAATTAGTGTCCCATCTACATAGAAGGAATCTGAACTGTTACGGTAGCTGCTGCTGACAGCTGTGTCATAAAGACAATTTAATGCATCCAACTCAGTAAAAGTGACAGAAAAAGGTGATATCTGATCAAACCATTAGTTTAGAGATGTCTAAGCAACCTGGCTTACATAGTGATTTCTTTCTTCACTAGGTAGAAGATCTCTTCTTTCTGTGGCCTATGTGGACAGCTCAAAATGGGAACAGAGGCAAAAAGAGGAGCATAGCCTGGGTAAGAAAAGTTTGTTTCTTTTTCTCCACTTTGACTAATTACTTGCAACCTGAACTCATTTTAGACTAGCGCATCATCTATAAATAATTTTATTCAAATAAAAAATAAATTTTATTCAAAATAAAAAATGCGTGGAGCAAAATGCCTCTGAGTCCCTATATCAAAATGTGCTCAACATATTAAAAATCCGTCCTATATATTCAGAGCTGTAATGCACAAACAAGTTAGAATTTGTCCACTTAATTAAAGTTTGGTTTCTACAAGCTGATTTATTTATTTCACAAAATCCTAAGCTTTTATGAATGTCATAGTTAAGACTCTCTTGGAGTGTCCTCTTCATTGTCCTCTGCTGATGTTGTTTTAATTGTAATGCAGCACGAAAGAAGACCTGTAAGTATTACTGGGCATTCCTATTTAAAAACGTTTTTTCAGAAGAACATTTTCCTCAGAGTTTTGCAGGAGGGGAAGTTACATTTCATGTTGAAATTTTAGGTTTTCTTTTGTGGAAAAATGAAACTAAACATTTAATTTCCAAGAAGTTGTACATTGAACTGTATCTGCATATGGTGCTGACATCTCTCATGTGAATTTCATAGCTAAATTCTTTGGCTAGATTACATATGAAATGACATTCCACTGTCTTTTTGGTAACTGTTAAATAGAAAGCATCATGCAAAATATTTTTCCATGCTAAAGATACATATGCATTATTTTGTACCTTGAGTGTTTTGGACACACTCTTAATGCATAATCTTTGTCTTCCATTTTTCATTCCTGGGCCCTTGAACTGTGTTTGTTAATTGTAACACAGATTATTAGGCTGAAAGAAGAACCAGCAGGTGAAATTCAAGGGCTTTTGTCAGGCAGAAGACAGACAAAATAATCAGAGTAATGTTTTTTATGCACTTATGTGTTTCTCTTATTTGCTTATAAACAGCTAGGGTAGTATTGTCAACATGTTTTACTGTACGTGGGCCAGAAACAGCCAGTGGGTGCTCATTACTGTAGCTTGGATCCTGCCGAGACTGTTAATACCTTGTCACCCTTTACTGTTAATAGGACTGCTCATGCAGTGTTTTTTGGGCTGGAGCCACAGACTAGTGCCCTGGAATGCATTTGAACCAGTCACCTCCAGATGAAAAAGAGTTCTTGTTTTGACAAAAGTAATAGGCAATAGAAACCCACTGTAGAAAAAAACATTATTGTGCAAATGCTGGTACAGTCCATGTTTGGTTTTCCCCAGGCCTAGCAAGACCTTTCATGACTGCTTGGCAAGCACAGTTCTTGCTGCTGCTCTGCCGATGGTCTTGATCCAAAGCAGATGTCTGTTCCATGCTTTTCAAATAACTGCTTTGCATTTTCATTTTGTGTTCACAGAAGAGGGAAAACAAGTTAACACCGTGTCAGCTGTATTAGCATTTTCAAAGAGGAGACAGCCCTGCAGACGTCTGCTCTGTAGCAATCAGTTGTATGGTTGCATATAGAATCTTGTGTGTAGCAACTGGTGATTGTAGCTGCAGTGAATTCCTTGCATTGAGGGGATGCTCTTTTATTTGTGTATTTCAAATGCAGTTTCAGGACTGTTATTCTGCAAAACTATGTTGTGGGAATACATTTAAAGGAAAAAGAAGTATTTTTGGTTTAAAGTCAGTTCCATTTCTCTGCTGCAGTGATGTGGTGCCATCCCAGACTCAAACTCATTTACTGTGTCCACATAAGATATGCTTTATTATGTTCTTTTAGTCTCAGTTCAGCATTCTGAGCATGAACGAGTTTAGCAAATTTCACTAGTGAAAAAAGTGTGGGAAAGAAAAAGACTGTATTTTGTTTACAGAAGCACATTTGTTCAAAAAGGTAGGAATTGAAAATGCATTAATTTGGAATTTACAGACTGCTTGCTGTTAGGCGGATACTTGTCTAGAAGTAATTTGGACTCTACTTATTAAAAATGAGATATCACGGAAACGGGAGGCATGGCTGGACTCAGATTCTCCAATGTTTCAGTTGTTTCATCACTAACAAGGGTAGAATTAAGTGACAATAAGCGAGCGTCTTGATGAGAAGAATAGCAATTACCAGAATACCAGGGGATGGCAGAATCCAAGTGAGATATGAAGTGTCTTTTTTTGTTAGAAAAACTCATGGTACCCAAAATGGCTCATCTACAGCACCAGGTGGCAGTGCTGCCTTTACAGACTTGAAGAATTCCCATTCAAAGCCTTCAGCACAAAGCTGGTAGTTCTTTCCAGAAGCTGCTAGGCATGTGGAAATACTGAAAAATGTGAAGCATGTGAAGTACTTGCCTGAGCCTTCCCTTATATTTTATTTGGGTCTTTAAAATAAATCAAGGCTTGCTTTATATAGAAAACAAAATGTTAGTATGTGAGTTAAGGTATTAGCTCTGCCCATCATTCCCAGGACAGGTGAACTTTGTGTCATAGTTGTATCCGCTTTCCTGTTGCTTCCCCATTGCTGGATTTCAACCCTGTCCTGGGTGGAACACTTCTAAGAATAAGAGGGTAGTGACCATACATGGTGGCCAAGTGTGCCACTTGTTGATGTGGCTACATGCTGGGGATAGGTACACATTGTGAAGCAAACTGAAACTCTGTTGATTTCCTAGACCGCCAAACTGGTATTAGATGTCCTAACCACTGACTTGGAAGGTGGTGGTCAATATTTTCCCAGTCATTGTCCTTAATCACCCTGTTGCAGGCAGCAAAACATTGACTTTCTATGAACAATTGAAAATGAAACATGAAATCTCAGATACCAATATTGTAGAGACAACTGTAGAGTCATGGCCAGAAGTTAAATGACCTCAGCTCAGTCCATGAGATTCTGCAACATACAGAAGTATGTTTTCAGAGAAATTAAAAGTTTTGTAAAAGTTCACCTTTTAGAAATGTATTTTTAGGCAATGCAGATGAGAGATTATATGTATAGGTGTGCTCTTCGGTGGTGACAATCAGATAAAAGTACTTGCAACATACATCTGTTAGAATGTACATAGAATTTTGCTTTGGGCATTAAAACAATTTATACACCAATGTTAGTGCTCAAGTTTTACTACCAGTAGTCCTAGGAGACTTGGGCATTCACATTCTTGCATTCTAGTACTGCTGTCAGGATGTTTTTAACTCAGAAGATGCTTCAATATTGATTATTCAATACCAGCTTATGGAGAAAACTTGGTTTACAATAGGTGGCTGAATTATTTCAAATAATGAATATGACAAAAAAAGTCTGGTTTTAGGTGCTCTTCAGAGAAAACAAGCCAGGAAAGAATTACTCACTGCATATTATTCATATCTAGAAACTACAGCAGAAACAGCAATTTGTCTGCAAATAAAGCTAAATTTCTCATTAACTTGATTTGTCTTCTTTGTGGTTTAATCAGCTTTCATTTTATTGTGACTGTTACACTGGAGCTGATAGATACATGCTTCATGTTGCTTTCCATGCTAAAGTTCTGATGGAGAGTTCCAGCTTTGTAGGCAGCATAAAAGGTCAATCATTAAAATTCTGTGTGTGAACTCTCCCAGAGGCAGCCTGTGTATGAATGGCTAACAGTCTTGGGATCTTGCACTCATAGCATTGTATTCATTTGGTTTATATTTTAATTAAGCACTCAGTGTTTCCTGAAATGGGCTCTTCATCTTCACAAGCACATAGCCAAAAGAAGTGCCAAGCTCAGGGGCCATTGAGTATGGCCCAAGGTATCACCTTCCAGTCTTCAGAGGGTGATGCATAACAAAAATAGTTCTGGAATAGATAAATGATCTCCTGTTCTGTGCAGTTGTCTCAGGTCCACATTGCTATGTCATCAAACAGCAGATTTCAGAGTGAATACTTTTTTCCAGCTATCTCAAAATGCAGATGAAGAATGTTGGGTGACAGTTGGCTTAGTATGTTTAGCCAAGGATCTCGCCAGTTCTTAGTTCCTGACAAGTTGACTAAGCCGCAGCATCCATTCTTTCTGACTTAGCGCTACTGGGAATGCCTCCAAAGTCATTACCTACATGCTCCATCATGACCTTTGTAGATGCTGGAGAGACCAGTAATACAGAGTCAAATACAGGCACTTCTTGTAAGGATATTCCCACAGAAATGTCTTAACTACTAAACCATCTTTTTTAATGGTACTTTGGATTAGCATGGCCTTGGTGTCCCACATCAGCTCAACATCCTGTGTTGTATTTTGTGGGAGCTGGTACTTGCCTCAGTAACTTTGCTCCAGATTTCCTTTGCTTTCATGGTCATGAAATGAATGCCTTCCCTCAGCCAGAGATAAATGCTCTTTTTGTCTTTTCAAGAAGACCATAAAGTGCCTCGGGAAGGAAGGTGTTACGTAGACATGGAATACTGCTATGTGGCACACAGCAGCACTGTCCAGACTTCAGAGTCAACCATTTTATGCCACATCAAGGCTCTATCATTTTATTGCAGCAAAAATCTTTGCACATGTTTTGTAATTTGAGAGAGTACCTTTAAGGTCAGAGTAGCATTGAATGCAATTCATATTGTTAGAACTGTATACCCCTCAGTACTCACTGGTGGTAGAGGTGTGTTTTTAAAATGATGAATAGTAGTATCACTTGTTTTGTGGACAGAACATACATGGTCTGCATCCCTCGGAGACATGGCATGTTACTGGTGCAATGCTGCTTCCTGCCCCTGACAACTTTGCCGAAGTAGAAGGTTTAGTAAATTACAGAATCATGGAATCGTTTAGATTGGAAAAGACCTTTAAGATCATCAAGTCCAACTGTTAACCTAACCCTGCCATCCCACCACTAAACCATCTCCCTAAGCACCTTGTCTAACCATCTTTTAAATACCTTTAGGGATGGGGATTCAGCCACTTCCCTGGGCAGCCCCTTCCAGTGGCTGACAACCCTTTCGGTGAAGAAATTTTAATGTGGTGCTGCAAGTTGTGCTTACCTCACATTTCATTGGCAGGTGTGGAGGTTGGATGACCTTTTTGGAAGATAAATTGTAAAATGAGCGAACCCATCAGCTCTTGAAGGATGGCCAATGGACTAATCAAGAAGTGTCAAAGGAGAGGCTGGCTTAGTAATGGTTGTAGTCGTGGGGTGCAAAGGATGAAGCAAGGTGCTAATCAGGCAGAGAGAATATGTCAGATTCCTGGTCCTGGAAGATGCAGGAGGTTACAAAGAAAGAGTATGATTGAAGTGTCTAAATTTTATAGATTGGATATCATCAGTTCGTGTCGCAGCTAAGAATTCAACAGCTGACACTAAGCATACAATAAACAGCTTAGTCTTCCTCAGTCATCATTCTTTTCCAGGAACAGTACAAAACTAAAACTCAAAATTAAGTGAATCTAACTTCCAGTTAAATTCATTAAATGCAATGTTTGGCTACCTGTTCAACAGTCAGAAGCTTAAAGTTCGTGTATGGTGAAATTAATATTGTTACACGACTGCTAGAGCAGAATGCTATAAAGTTAATAGGGTACTGGCACAGTGCCCAGTTTGATTAGCAGGGTTTCTTTGGATTGCTGTTTGTGATTGTGGGGTTTATCAGGATGGTACTGCTTATTTCTGTGTGCCATTGTTTTACGTTAAAATAAAGGACAAACCCATGCCAAAAGCACCATCCAGCACATGGTAAGCATGAAAGCGGGTGTGAATTTTAAGGACATCTGCTCAGTTTTTTTAGATCCATTATATTAGTTATACTAATTTCATCCAACACATTATAGGGTAGTTTGCTTTTCCCTCCTTCTTTCTAGGAAGATAAAATCATCATGTTGAGAACCTTTCCATGTATTATTTTCTATTAAAGTATTTAAAAATAATTCAAAGTGTTGTTTTAATACAACTTCAAAATGAGATGTTAAGAAGGAACCAGAATTTGATTTTGGGGACAGAGGTTCTATTCTAGGTTATATGATGGCTCTGCAGATTTTCCTGTAATGCCAGTTGATTAAACATACTTTTTTCTGTTTTTTTCCAGCTGACTTAGCCCACTTGATGGACAGAACCTATGAAAGAAAGCTGCCTGTCAGCTCTTTGACAATAGCCCGGGTAAGGAAATAAATCCCAATCATAAAGTGACGGAAATGACAGTGGAATGCTTATGAAATCAAATGAGCTGAGAGGGGATAAATGATATCACTTCTGCTGGGAGCTCTGGGATCATAAATGTCATGTTACGCTGTTAAATTGCTGTGTAAAGCTGTTTTATTGTTACTTTGTACCTATTAGTTAGTACCTGGACTGTAGGGTCTTCACAATAGAAGCAGGTAAAATCAGGCCTCACTGTTACTTTGCTATGTATTTCCCTAATACACATTCCCTGCCTTCCTGTGGTTTCTGGCTTAGTGAGATCTTTAACGCCCCCTCAGACACTTTATAAGAACCCAGGCTGCTAAGGGAATGCAGTGAACTAGCACACTGCCTGTCTGCGTGCATCTTCCTCCACTTTAAGGCTCCTTTCAGAGGGGCAGAGGTGGATACATTCTTGTCATGGTTTAACCCCAGCTGACAACTCAGCCCCACACAGCCACTCGCTCACTCCCCCGCAGTAGGATGGGGGAGAGAACTGGAAGAGTAAAAGTGAGAAAACTCATGGGTTGAGGTAAAGACAGTTTGTCAGGTAAAGGAAAAGCCATGTACACAAGCCAGGCAAACCAAGGAATTCACTCAGTGCTTCCCATGGGCAGACAGGTGTTCAGCCCTCTCCAGGAAAGCAGGGCTCCATCATGCATAATGGTGACTTGGGAAGACAAATGGCATCACTCTGAACGTCTCTCCTTTTGTTCTTCTTCCCCTAGCTTTATATGCTGACCATGACATCATATGGTATGGAATATCCCTTTGGTCAGTTGGGGTCAGCTGTCCCAGCTGTGTTGCCCCCCAGCTCCTTGTGCCCCCCCAGCCTCCTTGCTGGTGGGTGGTGCGAGAAGCAGAAAAGGCCTTGGCATCGTGTAAGCCCCGCTCAGCAGTAACAAAAACATCCCTGTGTTATCAACGCTGTTTTCAGCACAAATCCAAAATGTAGCCCCATACCAGTTACTATGAAGAAAATTAACTCTATCCCAGCCCAAACCAGCACAATTTTGCCTCCATAGTGCTCTTTCCTTGCCTCAGCAGACTGAGGCAGGACAAATGCTGGTGTGGGATAAATGAAGCCATTACTTTTACAGGAAATAGTAACCAGTTCCATCCTCTGGATGGGTTAATCTGGGGAAGGCAGAGATGCAAAATGTGCTTTTAAGTTCCCTGTGTAAGTGAGTGTTTGTACTGAAGATGTCACTTGTTTTTTTAAAAAAAAACAAAACTAATTTCAGTCTTCAAAATTATCCAAAAATGCTGAATCACCACCCTGGTACCTCAGTAGCACCACTAAGTAGTATCATTGGCACCACTAACTGAGGAGTTGCAGAACATTTTATACAGTTACAAGATCAAACATTTGTACAGATCAAGCATTCTTGATCATTGCTTCTGAAGCAGCATCCATGGGGGAAGTGAGTGCTCCTCTTCCTTTTGTTACTTAATCAGCTTTATTCATTTCCTTCATGTTCCTGCTTTGGGCTGACCTCTTCCCTGCAGAAGTGGCATTTCCATATTGCCAAACAGCCCCACTTTCCAGTACCTGGAGCTCATATCAGATTCTTATTTTCTAAAATGTAAATGAAGCACACAGGCTTTAGTTGCCGCACTCAAAAGATGAGACCTATGTGTATACAGCATGCAAGGAGAGTTAGGAAACTGGAGAGCAAGTACCAGTCAGCTGAAACTATTATTTTTAGCTTATGCTTAGGATAAAGAGAAGTACAGACCTTGAGAACATGTTGTTTATATATTCTGAGCTAAAGGTATTATATTGGGAAGAGTGTGCTGGCATCTTTATGCTTATGTTAGTAAAATCTGCAAGAAAGCAGGATTCACTGTTAACCATAAGACAAAGTCTGGTTGAAAACTTGGCTATTATTTAAATAGTTGGTAGCACTGGGAATTTTGGAATATTGCCTGGAGTAGACAAGGTTTTAAATGAGAGGAAAATTGTGCTTTACAACATGGGGGGTGATTTTTTTCTTATTTGTATGTGTGGTAAAATACAAAATGCTGTTGCCCCTGTCCTTCAGAATTTATAGTATGAATAGACACAACAAGCAAATATTAGAGAAAAGCATACTTTTTAGAAAGAGAACTAAGGCATGTTGAAACTCACTCAAAATCGGGGGAAAAAAGTGAGGAACTGAATGTATTCCCAAATCAAAGGATGTGATTAAAGAGCAAAAGGAGCAGAGAAACAGAAAAAATACAGGGTACTGAGCTATATGGACATAATTCTTAGATGGTTGCCATGTTTCAAAGTGCATAATGATTCTTAGAGGTGAGGAGGAAAGTTGTCTTGGTTTAAAAAGACTTGACTTTTAGCAATCTAGAAGAAACCTGAGTAGGAGCAAGCAAAGACTTGAAGACCTCCAGTACTGTCAAACACATAAATATGCCAAACAAATGTATTTTGTTTATTGAAGTGGCATTTTCTTCTAATATGCTTTCTGCATGCTCCCTCTGAAACTTTTATTTCTTTTTTTTAATCAGTTTATTGACAACATTTCTTCACGAGAGGAAGTGGATCAAGCTGAATATTACCTTTACAAGTAAGTACCTTTTTCCTTCAACATGAACTTTGAGACAAACAAGTAAATACCACGAAGTCGTGCCCTTTTAAGACTCTGACCCTTTCCAGCTTACTGCCTTTGATTTCTCTTTTGCAAAATATGTCCATCTACTTGTCTTACAACTCATAGCTAAGGGCCTTCTTGGTAAATTCTCCTTTGTTTTGGCTGCCCTCCTGGACCTCTGGTATTGACTCCTGTCAAGCATGTTAATCTGAGCCACTGAACAGCTAATACAACCTCCAGCTATGATTTACATTAGAGATGCAGAAATGATAGGGAATTATGTTTGTTTACAGTTTTTTGTTCTGATACTGTTTTCTCCTCGAAGTCATAATTTAACTAAATTGGCTATATGTGTATGTGCATTGTAAGTGTAGGAGTCACGGAAACTTGTCTCCTTACAATGAACAGAAATGAGAATGGGCATGCTGTGGTAATGGTAAAGTCAGCCAGGCTAAATGAAGTATAGTTTTGGGGTTTATCCCCTTAGTACTTAATGTTCCCTGGATAAGCTGTGTAGTTCCCCTGTCGTTAGGGTTTTTTGCAGCTATTTTTGTGTTGAGTGAAGTGTACTGGATACCTTTTCTGCTAGTGTCAGATTGAATGCTTGCTTGCTTCAGGTCAATACATCTCAATGCTGACTTTAAGAGGGCAGTAATTCTTGCTGATCACTAAAATAAATTAGTTCTTTTATGGATGGTTGCACACAGATTCTGAGAGCTAAGTTTCCTAATGGAGAAAGTAACTCATCCTGTCAAAGTGCCCGAGAGAGTATCTTTACAAGTAATGTCAGGTTGTTATTTGTAAATAATAATTATTGTTATTTTAATAGAGACATTTACTGGATGGCTGTTTTAAGTATATGCATAGTTGTAAGTGCATGACTGCATTAGACTTCAGATCTCTGTGATTCTCTGGTACTACTGGAGCAGTATATGAACCTCAGAGCTCCAAGATGGAAACAAGAGAAACCTGGTTTGCTAATACTAGCCGTATCCTGTAATGAAAAATAAACTGAGTAAGAAGAGTAAGAATCTCTCACAGAGAGGAGGTTAATGGAGCTTTCATTCCTTCTGATCAAGATGTCATTAGTCCTGTCAGAATCTGTGGTCAGGAATTGGTTTTCCATCCTGCAACAGGTGAGGTGAAAACAGGAGAAAGCAAAGCCAGTTTAACGCAAGTCCTCCTTTTGTTTCACAGATGTGCTATTAGTACCTTTTGCTAACATTCTTGAAGATTGTAATGTACATTGTGCCACACAGACTTAAGTTCTCCGTGATGGAGTTGGGTCCTGTAGGGTAAGGGATGCCAAGAAACCTTTCAATGGAAAGTGGGGTAGTTTAATTGCTGAGTCTCAAAATGGTACAGATAAAATCCAGATAGCCAGAGTGAGATGTTTATGTGTAATATATCCTACATGTTCTTGAAAACTAGGTTCAGAGAGAGTGACAAAAGATTAGAAGCATAGAAAACTTCCATAGTAAGAGGGAGAGAACAGAATGGGAATCTCTAACATGTAAACATCCTCCCCACTCTTGTCTGTACCTGGTTAGTACATCAGTTTAAAATACAGAGGTTTTATCCCTAAAAACATTCTAAAGGAGAGATTTGCAGTTCAAAAATAATTACAGTTATTTACTGTTTCTCTAAGAAATAATTCGCCTGTGGCTGGTGAGCGCATAGTTACGCACACATCAAATATGGCCATTTGTAATTGTTACAGATTTTAGTAGTCTGTGTGGAGAGAACGGAGAGGTACTGATGTGTCACATGGGTTGTCAGACATGCTTTGGTTGGAATTTTTCTTGTGTGTCCCTGTAATGCTGCTTTGTTTTGGTGTTGCAAAGTGCTTAGTCTTTTGGTGATGTTACCATCAGTTTCCAGGAGACGTCATTCCAGCACGATCTGTGAAACTATTCTCAAAATGCATTTATATGCAGGTAATGAAATAGTTTAGAGAGGTCTGTAATTCATGTGAAAATGTAAAAATCCCAATTACAACATCAGCTTCCCTTTCAAATGAAAATAAGTGTGCTAGCTTCAGGAAATAGGAGATTTGGTTGGTACCCGCAAGGCTCCTTTTATTGTTCTTTACATTTTGCACTTAAGCTGGAGTTCAAATGAAGGACATGTTTATAAAGATATCTCTTTGCAGCTAGGGAGGATGTTTGACACAGAAAAAGTCCTGCAAAAGTGACCACACCATGAGACATAAAGGAGATGGTAGAGAGGGAGAGTTAAGAAACAGAGAAGCTTTAACAATAAATCTCGTTTTCTGGCTTAATAAGAAATAGTTCAAAGCACAATTTTTGTACTTTATATAAGGAGGAAGGTAAGCTTCTAAAAAAGATAAAGGCAGTATCAGTGAAAAGTGGTTTTGTCTCTTCTAAGGTATAGAAATCCATTGTGAGCAAATGGCATATACATGGCCTGGTAAGTGGGATGTATGTGCATTTGCCTTGACATAAATAAGCAGAATGCTCCCTGTGTCCTGTGGTTTTCCCCTCAACTGATTGTAGAGAATAAGGGAGAGATTTTGGTGTGTCTCCCCAGTGTCGGGTGCCTCTGGCAATTTGAGGTGAAGGCTAGTCAGTTCCAAGACCCCTACAAGGATGGAAAATGTTCCTGGTACAAAAGGGCAAACTGTGCCTGTGGGAAGAATCAGAGGGAAGTAAATGGCATTTCTGTGCTCTCTGTGTGGGGTTTTCCTGAAGATGGGAGTGCCAGAACTTGTAAGCTTTGTAGACTGGAGACTTTCCTTGTACTGTGTCAGGCAGAACATAGTTTCAAAAAATAGTATTCTGGAGCATTACCATAATGCATTCAGGGTCCCGAAATACAATATACGTATTATATTTAGACCTGTTTCAGTTTTCTATCCTTTTAAAGCAGTGGATCTCCAGCCATACTGTCTCCACAGAGGATCTTGAGCTCTCAAGAATAGCTGAGTGGAAACTGCTACACTACATTGTGGAACATGTCAATAAGATGGTAAAGGCCATTTTGAGGCATGACGTCATCTGCTTTCAGTGCTCCTCTTTTTGTTCTCTTCTGAATACCGCCCCCCCCCCCCCCC